TAATGGCTTCCAGTTCGATTGCATTAGGCAGCACCTCAGAGCCTTCTGGAAGGAGGTGGAGGAAGAAAACAGCCTGGCTTGGCAGTTATCTGGGCCCCTGCCAGGCTGTTCTTGTGAACTCCCTCTCTAAAGCTCACATAGCTGGTGTCAGCTGAGTCCAAAGTATTTTTCTTTTTAATTCTTCTGAAAACATTCTAACACTATTACATAAAGTGTGGAAAACAGAGGGAAAAACCCACTCCACCCATAGCCACCCCCACCTGACACAACAGCTTCAGCGTGTGGTGTGCTCAGGTGGCCGTCCTGCCCAGCTGGAATCATGGAGTGGACCTTCACCCCTGCTGTGCCCGGCCTGAGCTGGGGGCTGGAACTTGAGTATGGGGGGCCAAGCCCCCAAGGCTCCCAGGCCAGGCCAGGGTAGGGGATTAGCACAGCATTCGATGAGGGACAGGCAGGGGCTGGGTGGCCATGGGAGGCAACACCTGAGCTGTGTCTAGGTGGATGGGCAGGAGTTAGCCAGAGCCAGGAAGGATGGCAGCCTGGGCCAAGGGAATTGCATAGGCAAAGGCCAGGAGGTATGACTCTGTGTTCTTTGCTTCTGGAGTGTCAGGTTTGAGGTGGAGGGGATGAGAGGCGAAGCCGGGAGATGCCTGGAAGCTCTGGTGCCTTGGGAGCTGGGAGAGGCACCTTCTGCTCTCTCATTGGGCCCATGCTGTGCCAGGGGCTTAGCTTTCAACACTCAGCCTTCCTCCCTGCAGCAGCAGCCCAGGGGGCTGGATTATTGCTGCTCAAAATTCTGTTTGTTGTTTCCTTCTAATTAGAAAAATACCCAGGCACATTGTAGGGAATTTGGAAAATGCAGAAAAGTATAAAGAAGAAAATGACAATCTCCAGCTAACTCTCCCCTAGAGTTGGCCCCCCGGGCAGGCTGGGGAAGTATCTTCTGTGTGGAGGCTGGCGGGTATGGGGAGGGGGGCGCTGTGCCCTCTCTGCTCTGTCCACATGAACTCCCCAGGTGGGGGTCACCTCCAACGCCCCAGACCCCTGCCCATGAGGACACTGAAAAACCAGTGTTTGGTAAATGCTGAAGGATTCTCAAACTGGTGAGAAGAGCTACTTCAGGAAGTTGAAATTATGCCTTATACACTTTTTTTTGAAATTTGACATTTTCAAACCTATGGGAAAGTTGCAAGCATAGAACAATGAAGCCTCGACTTTCTGTCACCCAGATTCACCAGCCCTGTTCTCACTGGAGTCACACTCTAAATGTGCCCCTGATCCATCAGGGATGTCCTTGTCCTCCATTGCAGACAGTGCCCTTGGAGTCAGAGCAACATTCAGGTCACCAGGGCTCTTTCCTCCACACAGATTCCTGGAGAAAGGGTGATTTCAGGGTTGGAGGAGTTTTGTGTCCCCCTCACTAAGTTTATTATTGGGGGAAAAAAATCATGCAGAAGTCAATTCCAGCCCACCCAGCACCCATCCCTGCTGCCCCTGCCCTGCTTCATGCCTGTTTTAAGGCTCTTTTCTGGTGGAGTGGGCGAGGAGGTGGGTGGAGGGGGTCTCACAGTGCCCCCCACCCCCCCACAGTGGAGCTCAAGATTGAGGTGGTGCTGCCAGAGAAGGAGCGGGGCAAAGAGGAGCTGTCAGCCAGCGGGAAGGGCAGCCCCCGGGCCTACCAGGGCAACGGCACTGCCCGCCACTTCCACTCAGAGGAGCGCCTGCCTGCCCCTCACCCCTATCCTGGTGCTCAGGACTGCGTGGAGGCCGCCGTGTGTCATGTCAAGGACCTCGAGAATGGCCAGTGGGTGCTGGGCCTGGTACAGGGGTCAGAAGGCCCAAGGTGGGAGGGCAAATACAAGCCATAGACAAGGTGGGTAGGGAGGCCTGGAAGGGGACTATGGCTAGCTCCCACCCTGGCCACAGCCTTTGTGACTTTTGCTGGTCTGGGCCTGCTCCCCAGAAGGCTGGACTCTGGGAGGAGGTGCTGGCAGGAGGTGGTGCCTCACATCTGGCCTGAATTCTGAGTGCAGCCCCTCCCCAGGATGCGGGAAGTGGAGCTGGGCTGGGGGAAAGTGTTGCTGGTGAAGGACAACGGGGAGTTCCATGCTCTGGGCCACAAGTGTCCTCACTATGGTGCACCCTTGGTGAAAGGTGAGTTGCCTGGTACACATGGGAGGTAGGGGCAGGGTCTCCTGAAGTGGGTGTGGCTTTGCACCATCAAGCCCCAGCCCTAGAGGCCCCAGTTCAGGTTGGCTCCTCCCTGGATCTCCAGTTCCTCTCACCTACTGGTGGGGTCTTCAGGGCTGTGTAGAAACCAGCAGGTGCTGGGACACAGGAGTCCTTGGAGAGGGGCTCTTGCAGGTGATCCCACTCAGCACTGCCCCCTCCCAGGAGTGCTGTCCCGTGGCCGGGTGCGCTGCCCCTGGCATGGAGCCTGCTTCAACATCAGCACTGGGGACCTGGAGGACTTCCCTGGCCTGGACAGTCTGCACAAGTTCCAGGTGGGGCCGGGTGTGTGGTGGGGTGGGAGCCCAGGGGGCACAGGGTCAGGGACTGGAGCACCCCAAAGCCTGGTTCTGAGCAGCACAGCACTTGCAGGTGAAGATTGAGAAGGAGAAGGTGTATGTTCGGGCCAGCAAGCAGGTAAGGGTGTGGCTTGGGGCTCAGGTAAAAGGGAGAGCCCAGATGGCATCTAGTCCCGAGAAACAGCATGTACAAAGCCCTGTGGTGGGAGGGAATCTGGTGAGTGTGGCTGTGGAGCAGAGTGAAGGGTGGGTGGTGGGGATGAGGCTGGACTGCTGGGATATGGCAGGGAGATTGGCCATGACCCCAGCTCCCAGCTGCCCCCCACTGTCTGGCGATTCCCAGGCCTTGCAGCTGCAGCGAAGGACCAAGGTGATGGCCAAGTGCATCTCTCCAAGTGCTGGTCACAGCGGCAGCACCAATGTGCTCATTGTGGGCGCAGGTTGGTGGTGGGGTAATGAGAGGCAGGGTGGGGTGGGGGAGAGGTGGTTCCTGACCCACAACACCCTCCCCGCAGGTGCAGCTGGCTTGGTGTGTGCAGAGACCCTGCGGCAGGAGGGCTTCTCAGACAGGATTGTTCTGTGCACGCTGGACCGGCACCTCCCCTATGACCGGCCCAAGCTCAGCAAGGTGGGGGTGGGGT